TAGGCGTCCAAACAGCAGTTCGTGTCCGGCCGTTACGTCGATGAGTTGGTCGATATGAGGTAATGGAAATAAATCTTTCGGCATGCTTGATCTAAATCTGTAAAATCTACGCACATTCTCCACTTCCCGTTTTTCTTTTTCACCATGACCACATAGGCGACCTATTGGGGGTATTTTGACTCCCTGACAGAGCCATTTTCCAATAATTTTTTGGCCTCCTCGCATAGTGCATTATTTATCGCGGAGTCGAACTTACGCCTAACCTGCCTCACCGGGGGGTGGAATGGGCTGACATTAAACTTGAGTGTAGCGATTTCCTTCAGGATACCTGGCATATCTGCATGGATAAAAGCAAACAAGTCCGCCTTAGTAGTTAAGAATTTACCTGGTTCTTGCTAACTGAACGGGGTCGAGGTCTTCTATGGTCGATTATGCAGCTTCTACCGTAACAGGGTCTCTAATGACCTCCTCTCTCTCATCACAGATCGACCTCGGCCCTGTTAATTACTATGCCTCTTTTGCTTTGCCCTTCATTTGTCTAGAGACCATACAATCCAGTGCGATGCGGTAGCATTCCCGAGAGGTGAGTTGTTCTCCTCGTATGTTGAATATTCCTCATGGAGTTGGAAATTTGATGACTTGGTATAAGCTGGAAGGGATGGCTCTCACGATGTGTATCCATGGCCTATTATGGCATTGTACCCCGTGTCCTGGTCCATGATATGGAATGTGATTTCCAAAGTGACGCCGCCAGCCACGACGGGGAGTGTGATTTCTCCAGATGTTCGCTCAACTGCAATGTTAAAACCTATTAGTGTGATACAACACGACACTATCTTATCATCGAGTTTCATTAGTACATGTACCCGAGGGTGGATAATGCACGCGCCGCTCCCGCCGTCTACCATAATGCATCTCACATCTGTATCTAGAATTCGTAAAGTGATAACAAGCGCATCATAGTGAGGGAAAATCAAACTGTGGGTATCTGACTTATCGAAGATGATACTTTCTTCGAGTTCGTCATACCGTTCGTGAGTGTCGATCGTTTAAGCTTATGGGTTGTGGTGAACTTTACGTTGTTGATGGAAGCATTGTCACCGCCACCGGTAATCATTCGGATGGTGCGGGTTGGTGAGGGCGGTTTTGGCGGTCCCTAATATTGTTCGGGTCCTATGGCAAAGTGTGTCCCTCCCCGGTCGCTTAGCAATTCTTTGAGGTGTCCTTGTCGAAGCATGTTTATGACCTCCTATCTTAGGGCGATGCAATCCTTGGTTTTGTGCCCTCGTTCTTGGTGGAACTCGTAAAGGGCATCTGACTTTTTGGTGCTTGGATCTGACCTCATATTTTGTGGCAACTTTACCTTCGGTCCTAGCTTCTCCAATGCATAGACTTTTTCTGAAGGTGACACACAAAAATTGTGAGCAGATAACAAAGGGGGCATACATCTCTCATTCCGATGAGTCCCTGTCCTTAGCCTGGGTGGGCTCTCTTGTGGTGGGAGGGGATCACAATGGCGCTTCTGACATGTGGCATATGCCGTTCTCCATTGGGTCGTGGAGCTACGAGGTCCCTCATGATATGATTTCTACGATCTTTCTTGGATTCGGCTTGTACCGAGGTTAATCGATGAGTTGGCCTATTGAGGTCATCCTCCTCTGCTCAGACCTCGGCACAGTAGGCATTGTGTATTTCATCCTAAGTAGTTGGGGGATATTTCATAAGCCGACTTAATAACTTTCTTGTCGCCCTTGAACTATTTCTGCTCAGCCCGTTCTGGAAAGTTACGACGGACATTCCTTTCGATACATTTGGTAAGGTCATTCTTACTCGGTTGAATCGGGCGAGGAAGTCCCTCAATCCTTCTCCCGGCGATTTTTTGATAGCGATTATGTCATTCGCTCTCGCCTTTGCCTTTTTGGCCCCAGCATGGGCCGTTACGAACTTGTCGGCCATTTCCTCAAATATTTCAATGGTATGCGCGACCAGCTGTGAATACCATGTCAATTCTCCTCCAGTGAGGGTCTCGCTGAATTTGTTCAACAAAATGGAGGATACTTGTTCCTTGCCGAGGTCATTTCCTTTCACGATCGTGACGTAGTGGGTTACATGGTCTTCAGGATCGGTCGTACCTTCATACATTTTCAGGTAGGGCGGCATTTTAAAGGTCTTTGGTATGGCATGAGGGGCAACTTCATCAGTGCATGGTTGTTCGACGAACCGTCCAGCATCTCTCTTTGGCAAGAGCTTCGGGGCACCTGGTATCTTGTCGACCCTTTCTTGATGTTCTCTCATTTGATCCTGAAGTGTTTTGTTCTAGTTCTCTATTTCCTCCATCTTTTTCAAAATGGCTGCGAGGGTGTCGTCACATGCACTATTAACAACGATATGAGAAATATATGTTGTAGGAGGGGGGAGCGGGTCATGCCGCTCGGCCGCTGGTGGAACAACACAAGTCCTTGCGTTTGCTGCAACCGTATCTTGAGCGGGCTTGTGGAGGATATCGGTTAGCGTGTCAGTTAGCCAAGCCTCGAGGAGCTTTTTTAATGCTGGTGGCGTCTCTTCTACCATGGATGCTGAAGCTCCTTTACCGCGGGATATTGTGATGCTACCGTGAGGAGGGGGTGATCCACCTCGCCTGGGGGAGGCGTTAGGTGTTATATCTTCTCCCTCTGCCTCAAAGATCTCATTGATAGTGTTCAAGAGGTTGGCCACTATCCTCATGCTGTTACCTGCCATATCAGATCTGTGCGTATAAGGAAAAGGAATTTTGTTCTTATTTTTTTGTTAGCAATTCATGTTAGTTGTAGATCTAGAAGAAACTTAGAAAGTTAACTAGGAAATCCCCACAAACGGCGCCAAATTGTTTGACCAAAAAATAAAAACTTTCGGTTAAACTATTAAATTTTATGTAATGAGGGGCTAAACTTAGTTAATGATAATATCTCTAGATATTGAACTTGATAGCATGGATAACATAAGATAAGTCAGTAGAAGATTGAAAGTAATGCACATTTAATATTCCAAAAGATGTGAGGAATAATGGAGGACTAACTAGCAATAAATAACAATAAATGATATTTATGTAAATAAGGAGAATGATTCACCCAATAATGAACGAGATAGATGATTATTTTTCCTGACAATGATAGATGACAAACGAATCCTAGAATGTTGGAACTATTCTCGGATATGATAGAAAAGTGTGGAATAATGTGTGTGAGAATATTGATGAAAAGGTAAAATTTGTATCTTTGCTAGGGACAGAGAGTATCTTCTTTTCAAGAAGTGTTCTTGTCAAGTGAATATCACATGTCTTACACCATTGTCTCTTTTTCTATTTATATGAGAGATGTCCCTAACAAACCCTAATAGTAAAGTGCACAGAATATTCAATAGAATATTCTCTTTAACATCCTATTACAAAAACTAACCGTTGTTGTTCTATCCTTGGTGCTCGACCTCGATAGTTGTTGACAGCTCGATCGCGAATCTCACTGCTTCCTGGTCGGCCTCGATTGGCCCTTTCCTTAATGCCGTTTTACGCTAAATTCCCTTAGGACGGATTTTGGCCTATATAACTATGTGGTTTCCTTTTGAAGGGGATGACGATGTTTGGATGCGTAAGGGGGTTTCGATCAAGGTGTTTGAAATGTTACTTTGATACTACAGTCAGACCTCAATATAACACCATCCCTATATAACAATACTTCACTATAAAAGCCATACTTTTCCGGAATAAGTGACAAATTTGCTTTGGGCACACCCATTAAGAAAATATTAAATTCTAGACAAAAATAGTTAGTGTGACTAAACTACCCTTAATTAAATGTTGCAACATAGTTATAGTAGCACTTACTTCTCTTCTCAAATGTGAGGAGTAAATGGCTTTTTAGCGATACGTACAAGGGTAATTTTGAAAAAATAAATTGAATTTTTTCTTGATTATATAAATGGATACTTATTTAGAACCAAAATAAAAAAATCAAATTGATCACTTATTGTGGACCGGAGGGAGTAATATTGTAGAAAATTTTCTACACTATCAACAATTTTAACTTGTGATAACAAGTTACTATTTATAATAATTAATTTCCTTGTATTGTTTATCAAAAGATTTATTTATAATTATCGATTAAATGATCTAATTGTGTATATATATTTATACTTTCATGGAACTTAACCTTTTGTTTTATTATGAGGAAAGGGGTAAATTCCTTTTTATGTCAAACTTTTTTTTTTTGTTTTTTGATTTTTCTGCACGAGGGTATATTAGACCTGAGGAAGGGGTATCTTCCTTGGAATTAGATCTTTCGTCTAATTTATTGAGGGAGGATTACAACAATTAGGTCGTAACATCAATTGTAGATGAAATAGGTAGTTGCTTACATCAATTTCTCTAAACTTAAATAATTATTATGCATCAATTGTGAATTAATTTCATATTTAGTCACTGAACTTTGCCAGATTAAAAACTCGCTTTGTAACTCTTTCCATCATAGACAACTGTCTTAAATACATTCAGACCTGTCTATAACAGCATTCTTATAGAACAACACTTCACTATAAAAGCGAAGCTTTACCAGAATCAATTTTCATGTTATGTTATAATATATGTTCTCTATAACAGCACTTCGCTATAGCATCCAAAAATATTCGAAACAAACGAAACTGTTATAAAGAGGTTTGACTGTATACCATATTTCATACTACAATCACTCGTAACATGTCTCTAGCTTGCGTGAAAGAGCATTAAATATGGTACGTATAATTAGAGGAAATTTAAGAGTGCATTCTTAATTGTTATTCTCAAACACGTCAACTATTTATTTTTAGTTCAAATATTTTTATTCAAACGTAACTACTTATTTATAAATTCAGCTCCAGCATCGTGCTTTTTAGCACTTGCTGCTTAAAGCTATTAAAGTCAAATAATTAGAACGGGCTCTAAATTATTAGTGGATAATTCTTTAGACTTATCAGTGTGTAAGTTGGATCTTTTATTTGTTGCAAACAGCTTGTGCAGCTTCCTTCATTTCCAGTAAGGCATCTTGAAAACACTTGGCTAGGACTTTAGGGTCAGGGATGATGTCTTTAGCCACCAATATTTGCATGTCAGCCTTCCCCTCATAGCTCACCATGTGCATTGTGATTGCCTGCATTAATATTGTAGCACATATTTTCATTTCATGAAAGAGTTGAGGCATAAAGACCAGAGACATAGCTAAGATTTCGAGTTTATGAATTTTTAAATTTAGAAAATAAAGCTTACTGGGTTCTGGATAAATTATTCATACATATTAAATAGTTTTAACATATATACGTAGTTTAGATCAAAATTACTAGATTTTGTCGAACTTGTTAGCCCTACTCTAGCTCCATCCCTGATGAAGACAGACAAGTGGCATCAGAAACTTACATGGGGCATATTGGCGGTAGAATTGACTCTGACAGAGGATATGTGGTTCCCTACGAATGTGATATCCTCTCTAGGGCCGCTCACGTTTGAGATTGTAAAAGTTGTATTACTAATAATTCTGTAGTTGAGCAAGCTAGCTAGCTGCACATCGTAAACGTAGAACAGTTTAATAAGTAATGACAATTCGAAAATTGCAGCCATAAGTAGAGAGACTGAGACAATAGAGGTGACAAAATCAACATATGTTTTAGTAACTCGCCAAGTTTAAACGAGTCGAATCATGACCGGTTGGTTGACTTGATTCTACGAATTGTACCCAAAATGACTCATCAAACTTTTGGGTCAAAATAGTGTAACCTGACGCATCAAAATGCAACCAATACATACACAATCAAATTTGGAAATCGGAAAAATGTAAATATGAAAGAACTGAAGCTAATCGTAATACAACCATTGGGTTATGACTCATTATTCAACCATTTTCACATAAACAAAATGTTTAACATGTTGGGTCGTAATTTATTAATTTGACCAGCTTTAACTCGTCCAAATTTGACAAAAACCTATCCATTTGCCACCTCTAATTAAGTAGAGTCTAAGAAGTGTACCTTAGCTCCAAAATAAGACATAACGGTTTCTCCAATTTTGTAGGAAAAAGGTCTCTCTAGTGATAATTTTTTTCTTGTCAATCGTTGCTTTAGCTCTCCTTACAAACTGCAATGGATCACTTCCACCTTTGTGATAATGAACTGGTAACAGAAGCATGCCAAATTTGTTACCCCACATTGCTCTCGATTTGCTGTTCATCAGCTGAGCAAAGTCCTTAGAAAAATGTTCGATGTAAATAATGTCAAGTTTAGCACATGAAAATATTGTTGGGTTTTGGATGTGTTTAATTAATATATTAAATACTTAAAAGAGGGTGAATGGGAAATGGAGGGAAATAAAATTTTTGAGTGAAATTTTAAGTTCCCCCCCTTGGCAAATGGGCATTGTCCCATATTGGAAGAGGAAGAGGTTTTTTATGGGTATATAAGCAATTGCTCTTCTTCTAGCTCTTAAAGAGTTGAGAAGAAGGCAAGCCTCGCGCCGTCGTCGTCGTCGCTCGCTCGGCTTCAATTCGGATTTGGTCAAATGATCGATTGATTGATTAACTTTTTGGACCAAATTTATTTGTTAATAGTAAATATTAACAGAAATGTTATTAAATATTTGTTTTAATAACGAAATATTAATATTAAATCCAATCCGTTTTTCTGTTTTGGTAACAGAAAAGTAACTACCCTCTTCAATTTTCCCTCTTTATTTTCCCTCTTTATTATTGAGTAAATGGCCATTTATGTAATGGCATTTATGCTGTGGGCGTTTTGCATAAACAGCCATTCTGAAGAGTTGCACCTCTTCAGATTTCAGCCTAACTTTGGCTATAAATACAACACTATTCTGCTCAGAATTTCACTACGATTTTCTGAGTTTCTTCTCCTTCTTCTGCATACTTTTAGCATCAAACAAAGCAAAAAGTAAGTGTGATTTGCTACCGAACTTTGTGTTCGCTGAAACACTGGGGTTTGAAGTACCACTACACCAGTGTGTAATTCGTTCTATCCTGGGAGGAAATAATCCATAACCTTGGGTACTAGGAGGGGTTTAAATTCCTTAAGGAAACACTGTGAATTCAGTGGTCTCGAATTGGTTTTATGTCATTTCTGTTTATGTTCATTTCTGTTTATACTCATTTATATTTCCAGAATTATTTTACAAATACAGTCTACTAACAAGCTTAAGGAATCTAATTTGATTTCTGTATTTGTACTTACTGTTTCTGGAAGAGTAAAACCTTTGTGGTTTTGTACTCTATTAAAATCTACGTGATTTTAACGTTTGTGTCATTCTTTTACAGAAATGACTAATGAAAATGAGAACCAAGCTGTTCCAATGGTGACTGCCAATGCCTCAACAAGTCGAACGACACCGGCAGCATTGGCACCGGCGGAGAAACCCGGAAAATTTTTCGGGATTGATTTCAAGCGCTGGCAGCAAAAGATGTTCTTCTATTTGACTACTCTAAGTCTCCAAAAGTTCATCAAGGAAGATGTTCCTGTGCTGTCCGACGAAACTCCAGAAACTGAACGCTTTCTCGTGATTGAGGCGTGGAAGCATTCAGATTTTTTGTGCAAGAATTATATTCTAAGCGGGCTGGAGGATGCTTTGTATAACGTCTACAGTGGCGTGGAAACGTCAAAGGAACTGTGGACTGCGCTTGAAAAGAAATACAAAACCGAAGATGCCGGGTTGAAAAAGTTTGTTGCTGCAAAGTTTTTGGACTACAAAATGGTAGATAGCAAGTCTGTTATTACCCAAGTCCAGGAATTGCAAGTGATTATTCACGATCTCCTTGCTGAAGGTATAACTCAAATTAATATTGATGTTGAAAGTAGTAATCTTAGTATTTTTACTAATAGAAATTTCATTGAAGGTCTTGTTATCAATGAAGCATTTCAAGTAGCAGCGATGATTGAGAAGTTGCCTCCTTTGTAGAAGGACTTCAAAAACTACTTGAAACACAAACGCAAGAAGATGTCCCTTGAAGATCTCATTGTTCGGTTGAGAATCGAAGAGGACAACAAAGCTGCTGAAAAGAGAGGCCGTGGAAACTCAACAATAATGGGAGCAAATATTGTTGAAGAGAATAAAAAGAGGAAGAAGGCTTCTGGACCGAAATACAACCCAAGCAAGAAGCGGTTCAGTGGAAACTGCTACAACTGTGGAAAAACTGGACACAAATCTACGGAGTGTCGTGCTCCGAAGAAAGACAAGAAGAAGGGTCAAGCAAACATGGTTGAAAA